ATTCCGACTGCTGACACTGTTTACATGTTTCATGTTCTCTCATTCATGACGTATGACGTAACCGACTTCGAGAGGTATCTAATTACACCGGCTGATTTCAATTTTATGTTTCCTCACGAATGAAATTATCTTTAATGCTTCGGTGGACCTTAAATGGAATTAAGTGGAAAAAAATCCTTTGCTGGGTACAGGTTTTTCACTGGTTGATGAGCAGTAGGAAACAACAAACGAGTGCCTTTTCAATTTCTCTCAATTTTCCCTCTTAAGCTTCTGCCTTCTGTTCTCCGAGCTCGTTCCTCTTTGTTACCCTCCACGTTTGTGGTGCAAGGCACTCTTACCCAATAAGTATTGCGCTGGAACTCGTGTTGTCCGTGAAGGACTCCCATCGAACGAACGAGGGTTGCAAGTGTTGAAGAAACATGGAATTGCCAGCAACCACCGAGCAAGACAAGTAAACGAGGATGATTTTCGTCGTTTCGATGTAATGTTGGCCTTTGATGAGGGCAATGTACGAGGTCTTAATGAAACTTTTAAGCCAAATGACGGCACTGCGCGATTACACGTTTTCATAAAATAGAACAACAGTTAACTCGGCGATATGCGAGACAGCAGCGTGCTGTCCACTTACACAGGCATGACGTGTTAACTTTCCAGTAATGCTCAAATCGAGCTGGTGATAACCGATTACGTTCGAGAATTTTGTTGTAGTTTTGATTATGGATGAAATAACTGGTAATTACTCGCAAGAAAAGTAAACGAACACTATACATTAACTTTACTAGTTTCTTAATTCCTTTACGTGAAAAAAATTGTTGCAATCAAAATCTATTTGAAAGCATTTTGACGACGTTTAGAACATACTTCGCGCGACCATCTCATTAAAGGTAAAAGGTTTCTACATATGTTATGGTAATCTAAATCTAATAATATATATTTTTTTCTTTTTTATCGTTTTTACATAATTCAAAGCAACAGATGCCAGCTGAATAACTGACGCGTAACATATGCAGAGAAGATGACGGACTTTTTTCATGTAACTCGCAAGGAATAATTGTAATTTAGGTATTACTAGACGACTTTGAAATCGCAACCTATAAGCCCCGGCTCAAAATGTTTTCGACCAAAATGATTGTTATGTAAAAAAGTTATTAGCTGTCTGTCATACAAAAACGCCGTATATCAAAAAGATCAATATTGGCTAAAAAATGACGGTAAACATTTTCACCGGAAGTAAGAGTTTTAATTCAGTGGATCTTAAAACCTTAACATCATTTTAAGCGGGGATTCCTAGAAATGTGATTTCTGAGAGTCATATATAGTAGCTACCCTTGTGGCAGCTGAATCGAAATTCTCCCAACAGAAACAAGAACTTTCAAATATTTAGGGAAAAAAAAATTTGAGGAATGAGAAATTCCGGGAGCTCTTGTACCCACGGCTGTTCTGCACATTTCCATAATCTCGTTTTTATATTTGTTGTTTCGTTTTATTTTTTTTTTCCTAACAGTCCAAAACCATGCTTAATTTTTCAAAGGTATTTTGCCAATTTCTTCTGATATCTGCCAGAATAGGAGTGGTTTGGTTGAGTACGTGTGCGTTGACTACAGGTTTCAGAAATCATTGTTTCATGACCCACCTAAGTTCAGGCTGATGAGAGTAGTTGAGTTGTTACAAGCAGTTTCTCACAGGGAAGATACTGGCAAGCGAGGTACCTGGTAGAATTGAAAGAATATCGCTCTCGTGTTTGCCTTTTTGGTGCAATGAACGTGTCAGTTGCCCGAAGCTGCTTTCTTATGGAGTGGTGACCCTCCATGCCTCGTAAGTAGAGGCTATAGATTGAAACATCCTTTCGTGAACTAAGGCTCAATTGCGAAAATGGAGCTCTTTTTTTCTGACGCCAGAGGGCAGAATAATTCGTTTGGGAACGATAAATCCTTTTCAAATAGCTGACTCATTTCCTCATTCTTGTGAGATCTTCTGTGGTAGGGTGACGCCAGTAATTTGGATTGACGATAGTCTAAATCGCGAATGACGCTTCAGTGACTCATGCCAGAGTTTCTTATCGTTTTATTTCATGTCATAACGATTTTTTCTGCTTTCTCAACCCTTTCTCTCTTGGCTCTATTGCATTGCTATATTCGACAAAACCGATTTGACCCCCCTCCTCCCCCCAAAAGAAATCAGTCATCAGTCAGCGTCACCCTGTCACCTTATCAATCGATAGATATTTACCATTGTCAAAAAGAAGAGCTGGAATCAATGCCCTTAAGGGGTTCGTTTGATCAGTAAAGAAAAACAAAGAAATCATTTCTGGTGTCTGTCCCGTCGATCGTGTCGCCTAAAGTGTCACACAATCTATATACAGTGGGGATTTACTGCTCCGGAATGGCTTACAGTTGATACAGAAGAGGAGAAAGTTGACATGCTGCAGGACATGAGGATAGTTAAGGCGCTGCGTAAACAGGATATGGAGCATCGTAATGTATCATGGATACTTGATCAGGATGGTGTAGAGGAGTACTGGATATAAATGATCCGTGTTATATCGTTACCAGCTCACGCGGGCGAAATATTGTAGTAGACTGTGACTTGACAATCAAGATGTTTGACAACAGAGGCAAGTTTGAGAAATGTTTCAGAATTCCAGCTCTTCTTGCTGACAATGAAAATACAAGAAACAGTCTTTAAAATCGCGGTTGTTTGGAGTACATTCTGTACATGTGTTAATCTGATATACGCTCTGATGGTATCAGACGCTGATATAATAGGGTTTATAGCTAAACTGGATGGCAACTCTAAAGTTTCATCTCGTCAACCGTGATTATAAAGAATTTCGAAAGGGGAAAGTTTCTAGCCTAATTACTGCAGGAATATTGGCTTTCAGGGGGCTCAGCTTTTCACATGAAGAGACAATTATTACTCAGTGAGCCTTATTGTTTTAGAAGGAAGTCAGTGATTGTTAAATTCATGCCTCTGAAGGCATACTGACACAAAAAAGAAACCTTGACGGTTGAAAATCAGCGAGTGGAATGCAGACCGGGCAATGTAATAAGTTGTTTAATTCAGGGTTTCCGACAAAAGAAGCACCTCTTCCTCTTCCTCCCCATATTTATCACCAATGGCAGCAAAATCTAACAAGAATACGATACATAACAAACTCGTCTGTGACCTTAGTTTCTGTTATTTTAGTCTTTGTTTCCTCTAAGTAAAGATCGAAATCCATCTTTGGGTGATGCTTTGATCAATTCTGAGAAAATGAAAGCCAAGGAAGAAAAGAATAAGGTCACTTTGATAGTTATTTTGGATTTGTTGTGTTGTTTGTAAGTCTGTGTTCATCATGTGGGTCACGGTTCACTAAGGCATTGTCATCATGTGCGTATTCACAATTTTTCATTTTGAAATTGAGACAGTTCATCGTGCATGGCACGTGATGAAAGTTCGTTAAGTTGTTTTTAATTTCGGCGAGAAAAAGTGAACCAGGAGATAAGGAGCAAAAGATAGGGAAAGAACATCTGGTGTATATGTAGCTACGAGAATATTTCTCTGTGAATGAATGTGAAATTTTCCTGAATGTTATATACCCAGCGATATCCATTTGGGAGGGGTGACACTTTCTGTAATGCTGTATACATTGCTATACGTTCAGTGTTACTTAAATAAAACCCCCCCAAAATAAAAAAACACACACACGAGAGAAAAAAAAAAGACGATAAAAAGACACAAACAGAAAAAAAAACCCGGCCAAGTAAAACTTGGTCAATAAGTATTTTAACTTATGACATGACCATAAGTGATGAAAATTCCCAAAATGTTGTTTCAACCTAAATGGGACGCGATAGACGGGCGCACGTCGGACAACCACGAACAAGATTCAAGATTCCTTTAAGTTTTTCGATTCAGAACAAGAAACTCACGGTTTTTTCCCTATCTTGCTATATATTAGTTGATGTTATGAAGAGCAATAACTATTGTTGATTGGTTAAACTTACTGTAAAAAGAGACACGCTGCTGAAAAAAAGGAGTGATCTGGGTTGTGTTTTGCTCTGAATGGCTCGCCTTGCATTTTCACTTTCTAATCATCTGATTACACTGCACTACTTAATGATGCATAAAACACTCAAAAGAAGCTAACATCAGTGACGTGCATGAGAGACATATTATTCATAACAAAATACAGGTTATGTTCCGTAGCCTTCCTTTGTCAACTGTATAGTGTAAAGCTGGGCGATAACGATAACGAAATCTGGTTTGAAATCATGATTTAGCGTATGGGTTTGAGTCTATAAATATAAACTCAGTCTTTCACCCTCTGAGTTCACACGGCTCGTCTAACAACCCATGCTGTGAGAAGGGATTCCAAAGATTCTTGAAGTCAATTAGATTGTACGTGTGTGGGGCCGAAACCCGATAAGTAGCCAAATACTAATTTGGTTGAAGGAACCCGTTTCAGCTCCAGCTGTGGTATAACAGTTTTTTTTTTTTTTTTTACGGGTAACAAGGTAAAGAAAGAACTCAGTATAAGTAAAACACATTACAGCTGAGAACAAAGCTAACAACTAAGGAAGATTCATGAACAATAATCATCCTTTTTTTCCTCGGGCATCAAACAACATTTCCATTGAGAAGTCGAATGATGCCGTGACGTGATTGAAAATTTCAATGATAACGAGTAACATTTTATTAAACAAACAAAGAGAGCTTTAGATTGTACTTTTACTGATACCTGTCAGGGATTTCTAATGCTCACATTATCATTCGTTGGCGAAAGGAAGAACTTAAGACCACAACAGCCTATTTGAGTGTCTGCAATGAGCAACATAACTTTTCAAAGACAAATATGTTTTTCCAACAAAGGATTATTTGAAGAGGCTATAAATCTTCACGCCATCATTCCTTGATTGCTTTCTCTTTGTTATGCTTTGTTTTGTTTTATTTTCTGGGCTGACAGCTATTATCATTCCAAAATTGCAATAATTCTTGAAATTTTGCCATCATTTGTTTTTTCTTTTGCTTTCATCGACGCTTGAGGAGTTACTTATTGTGACGATTCGCTGAAAAAAGCTCCCAATTTTTTCTGATTACAAAGTTCCAAGCTGCCATTATGTCTGCGATCATAACAGCAGTTTTCAAAGCGACTATTGGATGGCTTGTGGATAAAGGCAGAGATGAGGCAGCAAAAAAGCTTAAAGATGGCGACGTAACAGATCAACAGTTTCGCGGCATCATCATGCGAGAAATCGATGACGTGAAGTCCAAGCTGGATGGATTATCAAGGAAAGATTTATCAGCGAGTATTACATTCTTTAGAGAAGGAATCAAGTTCCTGTATGAAGTCTTTGAAGAGAAAAGATCGATGAGTGAGTATGGCGCAGATACAGCACAAGCGGCTTGTGCGGAAGCTGTGTCACTCGCTGAAGGAATGAAACACTTGGAGCTTACTAAATCTGCCAAAAGACAGCTTGACAATGCAAAGGATAGATTCAAAAGTGCTCGTGAAATGGCAACAATTGCTTTTTCAAATGAAGCGCTATCAATAACTGACCGCATCTTAGCAATGCAGTACCGAGTCATGGCAACAGTATTCGAAACAATAGACCATCCCGCAGATGCTGTAGCACCATGTGAAGCGTGCATTGAAGAGCTAAACGGTCTTCCCGTGGTTCAGCGAAGTTTGCAAGAACAGCTCAGGACAGGTATCATGGCAGTGAAGAGTTTATTTAACAAAGAAGAACGACGGAAAGTTATTTCCGGTGTCTGTCTTGTCAACCGCGTCGCCTACAATGTCAAACAAACAGTACACGTCGAAAAATCATTTACAAATGAACCATTTGCAAAAGAATTATTACTACCATTGTCCATGATTGATACAGGGAAGGAGAAAGTTGATCTGTTGCGAGACCGGAGAGTAAGAAAAATACTTTGTAAACAGGGTATGGAGAACTGTAGTGTATTATGGATACTTGGTCATGATGGTGAAAAGAAGCACAGGTTAAATAACCCGCTTGGTATCGCTACCAACTCAAGCGGGCAATATATTGTAGCAGACAATATTTCGACAATCAAGGTGTATGACAGCAGTGGCAAGTTTTTGCAATGTTTCAGTCTTCCTCCTTTAATTTATGACAGCCGTAAAGAGCTATCGATTGAATTCAGGGTTCAGCTAACCACAGACATGAATGAAAACATTTATGTCCTGGTCCAAGAAATAAGTGGTGAGTACCCATTCTGGATTTTTAAGTTTAACAAAACCGCTGATCATCATCACCAGTTTCGCGTCAGGAGAATGGACCATAAATTTGAGCGGTGTGAACTGTCGGTCAGTGATAGTGGTACAGTGATGGTACTGAGGGGAAACTGGAGCGAGGCACATATTGTGGATGTTTATGAGACTGATGGTAAGTTTGTCTGCAGTTTTGGAGAACAAATCTTGACGAACCCCTGCGACATCACCACTGTAAGTGATGGCAGAGTTATGGTGGTACAAGGCGATCCGTCACGTGTTCACATACTTAGCGAACAAGGTGACCATCTAAACACGTTTGATCTGCAAATATCTATGGCGTTTTCAAACATTGCATTTCATAGGGCAAGTCAACATGTCGTGGTGGTCGGTGATAAGGACTATAATTCAGACATCTTGCATATAGAAATTTACACCAAAGATGGTGAGTTTGTGCGAAGTACTCCTGTCAATATGGGACAGTCCTATCCTCTGCTGGGGATGGCAGTGACCACTGAGGGCCGCATTGCACTAGTAACTTGGCTTGATGGTTTAGGACGAAAAGTAATCATTATTTAAAAATCACGCTTAGTTTACAGACTAAGTGCTTTGCATCAATAATCATGCAATTAACATAATAAGCACAATGCCTTTATTTTCCACACAGCATGATGTAACTTAAGACTAAAGTTTTATGTCCAAAATGAAAGCTTTTATAGCCTCAATTTATTAACTTTTGATGCGTTGGAATATAATTGAACTAATGCGATGCAGTTTTGAAATTTTTCTTGGAAAATAAGTATTACATCATTGATCATGTAGGAAGTTTATTGATGGCTCTAGGCTTAGCTAGAGATATGATGCCTATTTGGAAACCAGCTTGTGGTCCTCACCTCTTTAGATGTGTTAATAAAATTGCACATTGTAACTGCCATATATCTCTTTGTAATGCGAGGAAATATTATTTTAAGTCATGGCAAGGTGACACGTCTGACACAGCGATAATCTGAGATATTTGTTTATGATTCTCTTTACCTATTTACTGGATAATGTATGGATATTTTGAGGAGAAGTTGAACTGATGTGATTCTCTTGTGTGTGTGAAAGGGGTTGATATCCAGTCTCTCTCACACGTATGTGCGTCATTTTATATTTTAATCATGGTGTTCTATCTTTCGATGATTTTAACATTAGCCTTTATCCGTCTTTTCAGCGTAATGCGTGGACAGTTACCGCTGTGATAGGGCCAATGTTTGCTTCAGTGGTTTGAGCACTTGTTCTTTTCTTGTCGAATGTTTCATTAATCAAATTTAGTATTTTATTTGGCTGTTGTTTCCTGCGTGACAGTTTTCAGACAAGACCAATTTCTGCGGTGAACTTTGTCGCGTGATAAATTTAGATGGCAAAAAATGAGTATAATCATCCTCGGAGATCAAATTAAACTTGTCAGTAAATGCTAATTAATTCATAGAGAGCGGAGCACGTGGGTGGGATGATGCGAACCTTTGCTCTGCTTGGCTACTCAAGCAGGCAAAATGGAACTCTTGCCCGCAAACGAAAATTGTAATTTTTTTTGTATTTAGTGGAAACTGAAATATAATCAGTAAATCTTATCACTTGCTGAATTTGTTCTTGTTTTCCCTTATGTTCTTCTTTTTTGTATGATTTCGTTGAACTTCGAATACAACTCTTGCCCCACAGCTTCCAAGTTGCCGTACCACGTTCTCCCACCTCTTGTTCTTTTGCAATCCTTTGTTTCCCAACTCCCGGCCCTCTTTGTATTACCCCCGTCTTCAGTTTGATTAAAAAGACTATTAATTGAACTAATTGCATATCCATCATGTTAAATTTTCGCTCTTCGCCGGAAGCAGCTGTTGTCGTGAGCTGTATGAAAGCTGGCTCCAACGAATGATTCAAGTCACTACTCATCCATTGTTAAACCGTTTGCATTTTTGAGCGTTCAGTTTAATTAAGCGCTGATAGACTGTTATTGCACATTATTATTCGGCTGGTCTCCAAGTCACATTTTAAAACTACTCGGATTTCTTCAAGAAATTGAAATCTTTTTAAAACCTCTGCAGAAAGGTTTAAAAGTTGTTCATACATTCTATGATACATTTATTCACTAGCGGTATGATTCAGCTATGTGATTGTGTGATTTTAACAGAAGCATTTGCAGAAACGAGGACTGATTTTTCATTGCCACATACAAAAATACTGAGGCTGATCAATATGACCTTGGACGACGTTGGACCTAACTCACTTTGCTCGCTGAATAATTCCGACTGCTGACACTGTTTACATGTTTCATGTTCTCTCGTTCATGACGTATGACGCAACCGACTTCGAGAGGTATCTAATTACACCGGCTGATTCGTTTCCTCACGAATGAAATCATCTTTAATGCTTCGGTGGACCTTAAATGGAATTAAGTGGAAAAAAAATCCTTTGCTGGGTACAGGTTTTTCACTGGTTGATGAGCAGTAAGAAACAACAATCGAGTGCCTTTTCAATTTCTGCTCCCGCTTCCCGCCCTCGTGTAGATCCCTTCTCCCGCCCTCTTAAGCTTCTGCCTTCTGTTCTCCGAGCTCGTTCCTCTTTGTCCCCTTCCACGTTGGTGGTGCAAGGCACTCTTACCCAAAAAGTATCCTTCATTTGAAAAGTAGCATAAACTATTCGTTAGTTACAATACAGGATTCAAACGATTTGAATAAAATTCGGTAGAACTTGAAAGAAAGAGCGTCCAGATGTTTCAAGTTGGTTGATTCCCAGTGCGCGTGCGCGATGAATAATTTGAATAATTTACCCTTCTAACAAGCTGCAAATTAGGATAGAGGCACTTTACCATTTATTCGCCTTGTTGCAATCTGTTTGTTTGTCGAGGGAGCACTTGTCGTTCTCCTTCCGCTAATGCGATTTTAAGGCACCTTTTACAAGAACGTGAAGATAGGAACGAATGGGAGATTGAAAGCGCTGGAACTCGTGTTGTCCGTGAAGGACTCCCATCGGACGAACGGGGGTTGCAAGTGTTGAAGAAACATGGAATTGTTAGCAACCACCGAGCAAGACAAGTAAACTAGGATGATTTTCGTCGTTTCGATGTAATGTTGGCCTTTGATAAGGGCAATGTACGAGGTCTTAATGAAACTTTTAAGCCAAATGACGGCACTGCGCGATTACACTTTTTCATAAAATAGAACAACAGTTAACTCTGCGATATGCGAGACAGCAGCGTGCTGTCCACTTACACAGGCATGACGTGTTAACTTTCCATTAGTGCTCAAATCGAGCTGGTGATAACCAATTACGTTCGAGAATTTTGTTGTAGTTTTGATTATGGATGAAATAACTGGTAATTACTCGCAAGAAAAGTAAACCAACACTTTACATTAACTTTACTAGTTTCTTAATTCCTTTAAGTGAAAAAAATGTTGCAATCAAAATCTATTTGAAAGCATTTTGACGACGTTTAGAACATACTTCGCGCGACCATCTCATTAAAGGTAAAAGGTTTCTACATATGTTATGGTAATCTAAATCTAATAATATAATTTTTTTTTCTTTTTTACCGTTTTTACATAATTCAAAGCAACATATGCCAGCTGAATAACTGACGCGTAACATATGCAGAGAAGATGACGGACTTTTTTCATGTAACTCGCAAGGAATAATTGTAATTTAGGTATTACTAGACGACTTTGAAATCGCAACCTATAAGCCCCGGCTCAAAATGTTTTCGACCAAAATGATTGTTACGTAAAAAAGTTATTAGCTGTCTGTCATACAAAAACGCCGTATATCAAAAAGATAAATATTGGCTAAAAAATGACGGTAAATATTTTCACCGGAAGTAAGAGTTTTAATTCAGTGGATCTTAAAACCTTAACATCATTTTAAGCGGGGATTCCTAGAAATGTGATTTCTGAGAGCCATATATAGCAGCTACCCTTGTGCAGGGTCGTAACGAGGTATATTTTTTCGTCGCTGATCCCGTATTTTTACGCAAATTTTTAATCCCTGATCCCAAAAGTGATGAAAATTTTGATCCCTGATCCCACAAAATTTTGTTGATCCCAGTGTATTTTCTATCCATAACTTTGTCTGGTAATCATTTTTTACCAATTCGCCAATGCGACATTAGACTAAAATAAAAATGAGCTACTTCACATTTCTTTCACTATATTATGATGGTCCAAAGTATTAGAGTCCTACCTGAATTAACTCGGTTCCCACTTCTTTTGTTCGTTTTTATCATTGTAGAATATTACCTTTGGCAATCATCGTTGAAGGATCCGTCACTTCGTTGACACGTGTTAACAATCTTTATTTTTCTCAAATTTAACTATCAGGTGAATTTCACTTAATTCAAAACACTAACTAGTGCAATACTATACAAATTCTAAACGTTTTATACGGGAAACACGAGGAAACAAATTTTTCCTAAAAATCTGATAACTTTCGAATCTATCCGCTTGAAAAAGCAGACTGCTTGAAATTGACGTTGATATTAGCCTCATAAACTTTGATAAACTTTCTGTAACCAAAATTAGAATAAAACGTATTTATCGCAGCGACCTTCCTCGACATTCGTTTGAAAAAGAAAAACCGTTTGGTGATGCTATAAACTTTAAAATTTCATGAGCATGCGACCTAGTCAGTTTATGATACAAGTTTTTGTTATCATCTATTTGCAGTATCTGTGCTATTTGTTAATCCGTTTTCTAGACATCTGAAAAAAATCTATTGAAAAATATCTATCGAGAAAATGTACAACGTGTGTGAAAATTTGACTCCGGAAAGGCCCTGGAATTGTTCTGAGCTTGTTAAAGCACAAATCGTGTCACCCTCCTGCCAGATCTACTGCGTCCAGCTTCGAAACGAGTCGGTTGGTCATCATCGTCTTCACTTTTGTCGCCATCACTGTCTTCCTCACTACTGCTATCATAATCAGCCTCGTCAGAGCCGTTAGCCAAGTTTTTTAGGCGTTGCTCCTCGTTTCGGCATAGAATGAATTTCTCACCATCCTGAACCACCGTTACAATATCTAAAATACACTGAGGTGGGTTGTTGTTGTCTTCATTGCCTACAGTGTATAATAGTGCATCTTCTTCTGACGGCTCAAGCCAGTTAATACGCATGGTACGCTCAAGGATGCCACCATTACTGCAATGAAGGTCCTCCTGAAGAATAGCAAGGAAAAAGGGCTCCAAATAACGTTTCCAGTTGTGTTTTAGGGCGACTACATCTCCCTTTGAAAAACGAACTGGACGAGTTTCAATCTGTGCTGTTTCAGGTTGTCCTGCGTCTAAGGCTTGAAGCTCTTCAAGCATGTCAACAACATTTTGAGTTTGGTTTGTTTGAACTCTTCGGATCATGCTTAGAGATAGAGGGAGAGTTCCAGCCTTTTCTTTCGTTTTGTCTCTTACTCTTTGCTGCCGTACGCCTTGCCCAAATTCTTTAGCAAACAGCCTAAGTTCCCTTGATTCTTCACGCAAAACATCCTTCTCCTTAACACTATCTTCTTGCCTAAAATGTTCTTCGCTAAGCTTTGCACGATCATAAAGCCACTCAGGCTCCCTCTTGTTTATTGTTCGTTCGGTGTAGTGGCTTTGGGGTCCCGTATACACTGAAAAGGAAGAGTGATACACCTTCTGTACGGATTCAACGATACAGCTTGGTCTGCGGCTGCCGTAATCATGCATGTCTGGCGTTGGACGACTTGGGGTTCTCATTCCCGCAAAGAAATGTTCCACATGTAGTGTCGTGAAACTTGAAAAGCATATATCCTTTGCAATATGCTGCAAATCGTTTTCAGAGAAGAACGAATTCGTTTTCTCAAATGACGAATGAAGCATTTTAAAAGCGTCCCTCGTAGGTTTTGATAATGCTAGATCAGGACCCTGGGGACATCTTCGACCTGTTCGAAAATACGCCTGCCTCTCTACGTCTTTCATGAAATCCGCCGCTTCTTTGAGAATAATCAACCCGTCTTCCTTCCCGTCTTGGTTGGAAACTTGGCTTCCTTGATAGTTCTTCTTCAAGTTGGAAGAGTTCAATAAATAGCCCCAATTTCTCTCCGAGATGTTTATAGCTTTTTAAGCTTGAAATTAGTCTGACAGCTTGATTGCTGGTGTCACAGACAAATATAGATTCTCCATATGACACAAGCGCTGATGGCGAGTGAAACCTAACTGTAAAGCCGTCTTGCATCCCCGGCTGGCTTCCTCCCAGTGAGTGAATTACCTTGCCATCCATACAAAAGTTCACTGAATGGTCATGAGAATCAGAGAAGACGAGCTTTTGTGCTGTTTTAGTAATGCCAAGGATAACTGACGGGTCCTTTTTAACAACACTGGTTAGTTCAACAGAGGCCTCTTCACGAGAAAGACATTCAATTCCTTGGTTGTGCATCGAGATCAGGAGCTCTTCCGGAGCGTCATAAATGCAAAGCGGTTAACTGTCACAAGACACTGTTATAACACACTTTTCACAGTTGCCTATGCCAGTCTTTAAGCCATACAGCTTGTTTCTGAAAAAGGATGTTGCATAACATACAAATTGTCGCTGTCGTTT